AGTGCAGAGGTGGTGGGGGTGGATTTAGTCATTTTGGTTTTCTATGACTAAATATATAATTTGCAACCTTAAAATTCAATAACATGTGACTAAAAATATAATCTATGACCAACCATTTCGTTATCTGTGATCTAAAAATTATATAATCTATTACCGTGAAAAAATTCGTGATCAAATAACTTGGAAATCTGTGTTCGTGTGACCTTCTATGACTAAAAATATAATCTGTGACCTTAAAATTCGATAAGTCGTGACTTAAAATATAATTCATGACCAACAATTTTGTTATTTGAGACCTAAAAATTATATAATCTGTGACCAATTAATTTAGAAGTTTGTGACCGTGTGACCTATAAATTTTGATATGTGACCAACTAATTTTGAAATCTGTGACTGACGAATTTATTGTGACATACAGAATTTTTGAACTGTGACCCTAAAATAGTGGTCTGAATCAGTCACCGGAACTATCGCCGGAACGGTCATCAGAATAGTCATAGGAGCAGTCGCCGGAGAAGAGTAGTGACCGGAACGGTCGTCGGAATAGTCCCCGGAGCGGTAGGGGCGGTGAAGATGGGGTGGGTTAATTATATTATATTATAATTAAATATTAAATAAATTTATTTAATAATTTATTAATTCATAAATAAAAATTAAAAAAATCTGATTTTTGAAATTTGAAACTTATTTTCTTAATTTTGAAATTACACATACTTAACATCGTAGAAATGAAATTTTTCCATGTACACCCTTTTAAGTTGTCAGTAAATTAAGCATTTCTCAATTTGGGTAGTTAAGAGGTATTGGCAGGCCCATAACAACAGCACTAAAATAGAAGTCATAGAGAAATATTTTTGGTAGATTCTATTATATTATATTAATAAAAAAAAGACAAACCACGCATGCCATTTTGAAATAAAGCGACGAAACTTCTACATGTGCTGCTAACATCTAATGTGCAATTTTCGAACACATCATATGGTCCGTCCATCTCTAATAATGTTACTCAATGTCAAGTTTCTATTGGTTGAGAAAGAATTATTTTCAAAAAATGTACAAACTAGTTCGAATTGTATTGCATTTCCATTTGGATTGCTAAAAATTCTATCTTTGTGAAACTTGTTGGGAAATTTTACGCATGTTCCCTTTATTTCTATTTATCCGATCTTTTGTTATTCAAAAGAATATTAGCGAATAAGAAAAAATAAATAATATAACATACAAATTAAATTGACCGTCAAAATTCTCTCTTCAGGCGTGTCGTATGTGTATCTATTATATATACATTTCAGCAAAATAGCCCACCTTTTTCTCCCATATCAGCTGGCCAAGTCTTGTCCTCCCAAAGCTGCCAGCCAAGCTAATTCTCTAGAGACGCGTGTGATAAATTTCAGCCCCCGTCTCTTCTTTGTTTTATCTCTCACAGGCCACACAACCCTAAAAATATGGAATTCATCCACTATTTATAAGATAAATAATTACCTTTTATTATTTGCAGTAGAAGTCCTCCAACTTTGACTTTTAAGACAATTACCTAACATATTGGTATAGTCAATAATATTTTATAAGAAATTAGCACTTTTGAAAAACACTCGTCGATCATTTTTATGTAGTCTAACACTTCTCACATTGTATACATTCTAATATTTAGTTATTTTAAATTAAAATTGATTTGGCAACGAGTTTAATGAACATTAGATGCCTTCGAA